TATTTAATTATTTAATTGGATTTAAAAGAATTAAAAAATTAAATACCAAGGAAAACAAAAAGAAAGGGAATAGAAGACTATTAAAACAAGTAAATAATTAAATTTAATTATTTAATTGGATTTCCTTTTCTTTTCCAATTAAATAATTAAATTTTTAATTGGACTTCCTTTTCTTTTCTAATTAATTAATTAAATGAATAGAATTGGAATACAATTGCTTTTTAAATAGTGATCCTGCTGACACAGTAACGAAATAATACCTAAAGGACCCTCTATCATATACTTATACAATCTCACCGCGCTGGTGGGTGGGGGGCCGCCAGTGGCTGAGGAGATGATTGCAACTTCGCCCACTCCAAAGACGATCTGCAAGAGCAACCAAACTTGGCCGCATGGCTCAAATGTTTGACAACTTAGGTAAGGTAAGGACTCACGTGCAGGCGTAGCTGGGACCCCACCCCCAAAAAAGAGACACATTGATGGAACTCTTAAGGCTTAAAATCCCAAAGGCCATTCTTGGAGTCCCCCACACATAAGCTACAACATGCTACAACTTGGGATTTGAGAAAGCTCTGCTCCCTGCTCTTTTTTCTTGCTCCTTTAGGTTCGTAGCTGCATCTCACCCACACCAGAAAACCTTGCCACCGGGGTCGGAAAAGTAGAAGCACGCCCACTTGGATGGACGCGCCATCCTAGGCGTTCTAGCGTTCTATTCCACCGATGACACTGCCAGATTCCCTTGTGGCCATGTAGAAGGTGTTGAGCTGGAACCGATCATTTACTTTGACAAGTCTGGTCACTATTTGAAAAGAATCAAGACATCTAAAAGCCAAGCTGCTTACACGCCACTTCACTAGATCTTTGGAGTATAGGCGTGTGAATCCTGCTCGTGCTTTTGCGCCTGCGTCCAGGTTGCAACCGAGCTTTGCTTTCAATTCATGTCCAGGGGCACCTGCCGGAGAGGCGCCGACTGCACCTTCGCGCATGGGGTCAGTGAGCTACGCGCGATCGACGAGGACGTGCAATGCCGCACAATGAAGTTCAACATGAAGCCGGATGTGGGAGCAATGCCCGACACTTTGGACAGATGGGCGTTGTGTTTCATGATATTCTTTGTTGGCTGTGTCAGGATATCCAAGAGAGAGAGGGGGAGTGGGAAGGAGAGAGGAGAGAGAGAGACACAGAGAGAGAGAGAGAGAGACAGAGAGAGCGAGAGAGAGAGAGAGAGAGCGCGAGCGCATCCCCCTAGTCATTTCATATTTCGGTGGTTTCCTTCAAGATCCATTCTGCTTTGGATGGTTTCCCTCCAGGCAAATAGCTCGAAAGGCCTATATAAGTTCACTTGAACGTACCAACTTCGGATGAGGGCTGCACATGCCATCAACTGGCAGCTGGTGCAGCCAACATGTGCTGGAGTAGGGGGGAAGCAGCCCATCGAAGATCCTTCATCAAGCACCTACATACGCACAGATGAGCCACGTGGAGCGCTTCGATCTCTCATCGCGTGTTCGGGTGAAATGGTTTCACTTTTCCCTGGCCTCCAACCTGTATAGAAGCGATGGCCTCCAACCTAGCTCGCGATGGCCACCGCCCGTCACTAATCCATTGGGCGCCTCCCGCCACTCGTTTTGACGTTGAGGATCTGAACCACCTCCCAGCGCTTTTGTCTACTCAGAGTGGGCACGCGGCTCGTGCACACAAGAGCGGCTACGGTGACGGCATCCGCCCACCTCCGGGGCTGCCGCCCCCTCGAGCTCCGATGCCACGCTGGCATGGAAAGTCTGTTTTTCAGGGTGTGGCCGGGCAGGTGCGACGATGTCGGCATGTCCGACGAAGGTCCCGAAGGTCTGGCGGTATGCTATGGTCTATGGTATGAGTTTTCTCTAAAGGGTGATGTTCTTTTGGGTCTATTTGGGGTTTGGTCACGTCCTTGCTGGATGACCACGTACCAAGCTACCCCTCTACTAGAGGAGGTGCATGTCACTCGCGTTTCATGCACACGCGTCGGGAACATTCCCGACCGACTGTCACCCGGCTCAGTTCCGCATGCGGAGATGTTCACTTCCGCGTTCGTTGGGAGGGTGAACCAGGAGATTTGACACCACCAGGGCTATCCAGGGCTGATTCTTTGTCCGGGGGTGTTTGATAGGCTTCCGCATCCGTTGAAATCGAAGTGATTGGGGTGTTACTTGGTTTCAGACGGCGAATCTTGTGGGGCCTGTTTCAAAGACCATTCCCAAACCCAGTGATCACACCCAATCCAGCGATCATCCTTGAGTCAGCAACTTGGAGCCTCGGAGGTTGCAATCTGATGTGCCAGCAGCTGTCTCAAACCAAAGAACATCTGACTGACAGCAGTCCACAGCAGTCGACCAAACCTCAATGGCATTGGTTGAAAACAGCTTCATGAGGTGCTTTGTAAGCTTGCCCCTCAGCGGCTTCTGGTGTTGCTGAGGTCGCCGAATGGGGTCCCAGATTGCAAGGCGTCGGTGCCAATGGCTTTCTGGTTCTAGACTTTTGGACGGCTTGGCAAGCACTGAGAGCATACATGGAGCGGAAGGTTTTGTAGATACATATTTGCCTTCGACCTGCCTAGCTGCCTGAGTTTGAAGAGGTCAAAGTGCTCCTCTGGGGGGCGCTTAGGCCACAGAGGCAGCTTCGAAGGTTTTGGCAGTGCTTCTCACTGGAAGTGATGTTGGCATTTCCTTTGCTCATTCTTCCAGTGCATTGAAATCCCGAGTTGCCTGTTAGTCAGGACTCACCTATATATGAGCCACGGTCAGAAACATGTGACAACTTTAGTAAAGACGGGTAGGTTGGTGCACAAAACACACACGATCAGGTCCAGGAGTCCAACTCTTCACCGAGTCGATGCCTGTTTCTGAAGAAGAACAATAGGTTTAGACCGTGGCTCACATATGTACTGTAAATATATATATATGTGTGTGTGTGTCTATACCATCTGCGCTGAGGGTTTGTTGTCGACTTGCGCCTTCAGTCCTTGAGCCCGGATCTGTTCTGTATTTCGAATTCGAGCATGCTTGACATGCCACAGACGGGGGGGCCACCCGCTGCTATCCATTTCGCTTGCTGCGATCTAATCTGACGTGATAGTACCGTTGTGAGCAACCTGGAGCCATGAGTGAATCAGCCAAACCCTGGCGCTCCAGAAGTCCAGCGTTGGCTCATGGCTCCATGTCAAGCTCACTTGCTGCCTGAAGGGCCGCTCACGCTCAGCAGCCGAGCCAGGCATTGTTTGAATCTGAGGTCCGAGGATCGAGTCTCATGGGACCACTCGGTGTCGAGCCGCTTAGTTGTGAACATCTTGGCCGTGTGTGTAGCGGGAGTTTATAGGTGCACGGTTGAGGGTTTGAGGACTCTGCCGTAGGATTGAAATTCAATGGTTGTCAAACGCATCTATCAATCGTTATGATAGAAGTTCGTTGTTTGTTTGCTGTGGACACAGCCTACGTTCAATCCTGCGAGTCCTTTTTTGAATAAGGCCATGGTCTATTTTTGGCAGAGCGAAGTGGAAACCACACTCTGGTCACGGTTTCACTTGCTTGCAATGGTGCAGCAATGTGCTGCGACTGTGAGAGCTGATGGTTGAGCCACAGCGAGGCCATCCTTGCCTCAAAAGGCTCACATTCTTCACTTCTGGTCCGCAGATCGTTGCAGGAGAAGACCGTGATGGTTTACAAGCACAAAAATTAAATGACCGTACAGTCTTTCGTGATAGCCCGAATCTGGAGTGCAGCTGCCCCCCCCCCTTTGTGGGGGGCCCAAAGGGGCTCCAGAATGCCAAGCTTGGCAGTCACTTTGTGCGGGGATTTTGTGGCGACTCATTACTACTAATGAAAAGGGCAGTACTACTAGTAGCGAGAAGCTACTAGTTACTAGTAGCTAAGGGCATTGCTACTTACTAGTGCTGAGAACTTTGATGTATTTTTTGAGTGCTGGGATGTGTTGATGACGTGGACATGCCCGAAAAATCATCACTGGACCTTTGTAGCCTTTGCATTCGCAACCCCCCCACAAGCAAGTGGATGGAGTGATCCTGCAGATCATCCCGTCCTTGGACTCTTTCATGATCCTAAACAACCAATGGGTCCAGTTTGTGAGCTCGCTCCTCGTGGACTCCGCGACGGATTCGGCCCTTGCGGAAGGCCGAGGGGCCTGCGCTTGGGTGGGGGCGCTCGCGTGTGTTGGTTTTCAAGCTTCGCACCCACCGACAGCGGATATAAAGCGCTGGCCCATGGTGTTCTGAAGAGTTTAAGAAGGTGTGTTTCGCGGAGCATGGACGAGCTGGGACGGAACAGCGGCCCGGTGTCGTCCCAGCATCCGAAAGAAGTCTGCTTTAAGTCGGTGTCGGACGGTGGTGTGGGAAGAGGAGCGAAGCGGACTTCCAAGTGCCCCGGCGCACTGGTGATTTCAGAGTGGAGGACGCCACAAAAGACCAAAGACAGAGAAACAACAGACACCTACCATTGAAGGCCCCGGGTGATTTTTGGATGTTTAATCTCCTGGGTATAGTACTTGTGACATGACATGTGCTGACCTACGGCCACATCATGGCTTAATGTCTCCACATTCTGAACATTTCTCGAGATCTTGGTGATCTCGGTGCTGAAATCTCACCCGCGGCTTAACGGAGGGAGAGTGGCAACCCTTGGTTTCGCACGCGGCTCCTCGAGCAAGATGATTGGCAAAAAGGGGTTCGACGTGTTGCTCTGTGCTCCGTGCTTCGTGCTCCAAGCCAATGAAGTGCCAAACCAAGCAGCAAAGGCTTTTTACAAAAAAGGGCCCACCACCACCAGCGGGTGCCTCAAGGAGCTGAAATGGCTTGCACAAGAGGCACAAGAGGCACAGATAGCTCGACCCATTTTCATAGGGCTACGGGCATTCTGAAAACGAACGTTGGCTTGCTCAACCAGAGATCCCGTAAGTTGTACTGCAATTTTGAAAACACATATGTACTATGATGGAATGAAGCCACTATTCATGATACTCTTTGCCCGCGCAGAGACGTGTTGCATGTTTCTTTGTTGGCGACAGTAACAATACCGTTTTTTTTTTTTTTTTAAAGTTTTTTCTCAACAGTTCGAACATTCTCCAAAAAACATGTCTTTTTTTCCGGTATCCACTGAGGTTTTTTTTTCGTCGGTTAAACGGGGGTTTTTGGCGACGTACCGGCTAAGAATGTCGTTTTTCTTTTTTTTTGCGTCGGTTCACCGGTCTTTTTTGCACGGGTTGCGTCAAAAATATCTCTGCAGAAACCAATTGTTGCACTTGCAGGCGAGCGCGAATCAATCGATTGGCGCGACAGCTCGAGGAGCGTATTTGGGCCGTGCGCCAGCATTGCCACAACACTGTGGACCACGGACAGTGAGACGCTGAGCCTTGGTCGCGGAGCAATATAATGTCCCACGTACGTAGTAGCGGTAGGGCTGCGTGTGGGGTGTGTGAAAAAATGCGGGAGGGGCGCGGTCGCGGGGCCGTGTCCCACACACAGAGCGTTAAACAGCTTTGAGCGTCGCGTGCGCTAAACAAGAGGGAGGGGGAGTGGCGGCAGGTGATATAGAGTAGATTAATGGTAGTGCTGCGGGTGGGATGCCTTCAAAACAGCGGGAGGGGGTGCAGGGGGGAGGGCGCAGCTCCTCCCCCTGCAGGGCGTCACAAAGCCTGGAGTATGCAACAGTGGTATGCCTGGTATGCGCTTGCTTTCAACGCAGGAGGAGAGACGAGGAGGAGGAGGAGGAGGAGGAGTCCACTAGTTTCTCCCTTCTTGCCTGTCGCAAAAAAACCTTCCCACCGATGCAAAAAACCTTCTTACTGTCGCAGTAAACTCAGTACACCATCACTGCCGTTCTACCGTCGCAAAAAACCCCTGTGGCCGAAGCAATAATGCTTCGATGGAAAAATGGTAGTTGTCAGAAACGACTGATTTTTGCTTAACGGTGTGATTTGTGTATGTGCCACAGATTTTGATCCGAGTAGCCATCACCGGCTATCACACATCTATATTTAGGGGATGACTTCTGTATTTATCAACCCGTCCATCCATCAGCCATCCCATTGGGCGCAGTGGAAAACGGCAAGGGCCGACCTTCAAGTTTTTTTTGCGGCCTTCTTGATGACGATAACTGGATTAATGCCCAGCTGCCAAGTGTCTTCACTTGCCTTTTTCATTATATCATGAACGACTTCGAATTCCGGTGGAATTGTAAGATGCGACGCAGGATATGTACAAAGAAATGAAAAAGCTTGCTTCAGGGTTGCAATAAGTTCATCCTTGGTCAATGGCAGAGATGATTCGATATGTAATAAATACATTGATGTCACCACGACAAATGAGGAATTGATAAGAACATCTGCCTGTTCATGCCCAGGTTGTGACCTCTGAATCTGAAGACCTACATGGAGTGGAAAGCGCTTAATATTATTCTGAGGTTTCGGAGACAGAGTTTGATGAACACCCACGACCAGTTTTACCCGCAAAATGCCCGCAAAAACCCGCAAAGGCCCACAAATCCCAGAAAGTAGGTCAAATGGGTTTTTGAGAAACCTCTAAATTCATTGAATTACAACTCTTTGTCATGAGTAGGATTGCCTGCCCGACTTGGACAATCTTTGGTCATAAGCGGTTCCGGAGAAAATGGGTGCCTAGTCATGTTTTCCTACGAGCATGATGTCAGACATGAGTTCATTTGTTAGCAAAATGCAATTATGGTTCCTTTTGCATACTCGTGTATCATTACCGTATCTTGTAGTTTTGCTCCGCTCGAGCCTGCTGATAATTCTTGGAGCACTAGGCCAATGTCTGATCGATCAGGGGTTAGTGAAAGCTGCTCTTTCTTAGAGGGGTATATCGACTGCTCAAGCGATGGCAAGCCCAGCTGCACTTGATTTCGCCACAAGTTTTTTTGCAAGCATAAGAGATCATACCTTTGAACTCCCGTGAAACCGACCAATCATCATCGTCATCATCATCATCATCATCATCCATCAGTCATCCAGAGGCCACGGGGAGGGCAGTGTGTGACCATGCACGACCACTCTTTGTTTGAATCGCATATGCTCGACCACTTTTCAACCGATCGTCGCAATAAAGCAGTACAAACCACATCGACCAACATATTTTGGGATTTTGAAGGTCTAGGGTGGCAAAAAACCAAGGTTGCCGACGCAAAAAACACGAGGCCCTGTTGTTTGCCCCAATGAAGGCAGGTGATGAGGCCCGCCCCTCTGCGTGCTCGTTTTTACTTCAACTTTCCTTCCTCAACCCTCCCTATTCCACAAACGCATTAGAATGGACTAGAAGGCTGATCAGGAAATCCAGTGGTGCAACCTATGCTCGGGCTGCTGTGGGGCTAGTGTGCTCGGAAAGTCGCACCACTCCTCTCAGTCCTCCTCCCAAAAGCGGGAAAACCGCTTCCGCTTGCCCGGAAGGCGACACTCTGGCCCATTTGGCCGCGAAGAGTTGGGCCTCCCGGGGTGTTCCGGTCGCGTGACAGGGCGGACTTCGGATCGGTCGGAGCGAAGGGCTCAAGCCTTAAGGAGCTTCGGCTGACAAGTCGTCGGGGGTGTTCGGGTTCGTGTTAGCCTGGTGTGAGCCAAAAGTTCTGTGTGCCGCGGGTGGTGGGGAATATTGTGACACATTTTCCACGCAGCGTTTGGACACGAGACCGGAGAAAAGAACACATGTCGGAGTCAAGAACGTACCAACGCACCTGTCAGCTCAAAATGAGCAGGAACATATGCTTTTTTGCACACTGCACCTGACATCTTGCGGTC